AGGCAGAAAGTATAGGCAGGGTGACCATACAGGAAGTAGAAGTAGGCCAATGAGAACAGGAGAGTTCTGGGGAAAGGATTGGAAAGGATTCTGTAGTCTGCAGTCATGACCCAGCCACAGAAGAAGCAAGACATGACTGCCTCGCTGAATAAGGTACTGAGCCATGTGGCTAACATAGACAAGAATAATGGGCTAATATAAGTTGTAAGAGCTAATAAGAAGTCTGAGCTACTAGGCCAATTAGTTTATAACAATTTCTTTGGGATTAATGACTGCAGGAACCAGGCAGGAAAGAAACCTCAGTCAACAATGCTACCTCCAGGAATGTTTTCTTTTTTTTCATAAAGAGCTTCATACTCTTACCTCAATCTATGTATGTATTTCATTGTGATGAATTCCATTTATGGTTTGTTATAAAGTCTAATGGTCATGAACCTACTTGGACTTCACACATCTAGGGAAGTGTTTCCCTTTCTATGAAATGCAGCTTGAGAATAATTTTTCTTTGCTTTATCGGTATTGTGTAACTATGAAAGAAAAAAAGATTTGTTGAGTTTGCATTAAGCTTACAAAATCAAATATTTGTGTGACAAAAACTGAAGAAAATTCATCTGTTTAGAAATGAATTACCATAGTCAAAGTTAGCTTGCAACTCTGAGGATAGTACTCACAGATTGTGGTATACTTCAGTGGGAGAATGGTTAGCTACTTAGCCCTTCAACAACTTTGCTCTTCAACAACAACACACACACACACACACACACACACACACACATTCATATATATACACAAGGTAATAGCAACAAAGAAAATTAATGAAAATCATCTTCAGAATTGAGATTCTGGTTAATTTTACACTAAAGTTTAAAAACATCTTTTTATACTTAAATATAAGATTTACTTACAATATATTTTTAAATGTAAATGTAAGTTTAAGTACTTTCAAGTATAAATGCAAATAATTTAAATATCCTTAAAATATATTTAAAAACCATTTACATTTAACTTTATGATTTCATTGTAATAGTTACTCAGAAGTTTTCATTTTCAATTATTAGTTTAATTTTTGAGAGTTTATTTTCTATCTTATTATTTACATGTCTTTTACCATTTGTCCTGGAATAACAGTATTTGAAAATCATATCTGTATATCCTCTTGATACCAAGTGACACTGATGAATATTTTTCTTCCTTCCATAACTTTTAAAATAGACTTCAGACATGAGGTTTATTGAATGGCAATTTTGAAACACAGTGGTATGATAAGTAGTAGGATCATACTTCAAACAATGATCATTCATAAACTTTGAAGCTTAACAAGAAACAAAGAAGAATCAGTTATTCTTTTAACACTTTTACCTTTTGTAACCAGTTACAAAGTTGAGGGCTGTAATCCCTTGTTCTTTTCTTTTCAATTACCTGGAAATTCAGTTACTTATTCTCACAGCCATTATGTTCTCATTCATTTCCTCTTTAACTGACTGAAATGAATTGAAGGGGCAGAAATGTGTAGGATGTCTCTGGAAATATTCCCAGTTTAGAAGTGGAGAAAGACACAAACACACAGTGGTAGTAACAGAGGAAGGGACTATGGGTTGTGATGTATACAGTCCAGAGGATGAGACAAATGTCACAAGTCAAAGTAGGATGAATGAGCAAAGACTCTAACACCCTGAAGTGGGTGGCATTGGTCAGAGGCTTCTGAAATTAGCAGGGAAAACAGTCAGAAAGCAAAGGACACCAGCCAGCCGGAAATGTGTCAGCAAAGCTCCAGGACAAAGAATATGGGGTGGGTTCAAAAATGAAGACTGGAAAATGAGCCTGTGAAAGAACTTGCCTGGATATTAAAATGGGTAGTTCAGCCCATTCAGGAAAATATCAAAGGAACTGGATAGCAAAATTATTGGTGGATATATCCATCCCCCAACCCCCCAACTCCCCAGTCCTCTACCCCCCCACCCCCCACCCCCCAAGTTTGCCTGGCAATCTTGTCTACTTCCAATATCCAGGAGGATAACTATATGATTTTCTTCAGGTTCACTTTCTTATTTAGCTTCTCTAGGATCACGAATTATAGGCTCAAAGACCTTTAACTATGGCTAGAATCCACTTATGAGTGAGTACATACCATATTCCTCTTTTTGGGTCTGGCTTACCTCACTCAGTAAAGCGTTTTCTATGTCCATCCATTTGCATGCAAAATTCAAGATGTTATTAATTTTACCGCTGAGTAAAACTCTAATGTGTATATGTTCCACACCTTCTTTAACCATTCTTCTATTGAGGGGCACCTAGGTTGTTTCCAGGTTCTGGCTATTATAAATAGTGCAGCTATGAACAGAGTTGAACAAATGCTTTTGTAGTATGATAGGGCATCTCTTGGGTATATTCCTAAGAGTGGAATTGCTGGGTCCTGAGGGAGGTTGACTCCCAGTTTCCTTAGAAACCACCACACTGATTTCCACAGTGGCTGCACAAGTTTGCATTCCCACCAACAATGGATGAGTGTTCCCCTCACTCCACATCCTCTCCAGCATAGGCTACCATTGGTGTTTTTGAGTTTAGCCATTCTGACAGGTGTAAAATGGTATCTCAATGTTGTTTTGATTTGCATTTCCCTGATCGCTAAGGAGGTTGAGCATGACCTTAAGTGTCTGTTGGCCATTCAAAGTTCTTCTGTTGAGAATTCTCTGTTTAGTTCAGTACCCCATTTTTTAATTGGGTTAATTAGAGTTTTAGTGTCTAGTTTCTTGAGTTCTTTGTATATTTTGGAGATCAGACCTTTGTCTGATGCGGGGTTGGTGAAGATCTTCTCCCAGTCAGAAAGTAGCCTTTTTGTCTTAGTGACAGTGTCCTTTGCTTTACAGAAGCTTCTCAGTTTCAGTAGGTCCCATTTATTCATTGTTTCTCTTATTGTCTGTGCTACTGGGCTTCTATCTAGGAAGTGGTCTCCTGTGCCCATGCCTTGTAGACTACTTCCCACTTTCTCTTCTATCAGGTTCAAAGTGGACAGATTAATATTAAGATCTTTAATCCATTTGGACTTGAGTTTTGTGCATGGTGATAGATATGGATCTACTTTCATTCTTCTACAGGTTGACATCCAGTTATGCCAGCACCATTTGTTAAAGATGCTTTCCTTCTTCCATTGTATATGTTTAACTCCCTTGTCGAAAATCAGGTGTTCATAGGTTTGTGGGTTAATATCCGGGTCTTCTATTCGATTCCATAGGTCGACTTCTCTGTTCTTATGCCAATGCCAAGCTGTTTTCAATACTGTAGCTGTGTAATAGAGTTTGAAGTCAGGGATGGTAATGGATGTAAGGGGAGAGAGATGGTGAGAAGGGCTGGATTCGGGATAGTTTGGGGGAATGGGATGGGTGGGATGGAGGAAGGATGGATATGGGAGCAGGGAAGTAAATATCTCAACTAAGGGAGCCATTTTAGGGTTTGTAAGAGACTTGATTCTAGAGGGGGTCCCAGGTCCAAGGAGAGGTCCCCAGATTGTTCCCTGGGCAGCAGAGGAGAGGGTGCATGAACTGGCCTCATCCCATAACCATACTGATGAATATTTCACATAGCACCATAGAACCTTCATCTGGCGATGGATGGAGATAGAGACAGAGTCCCACATTGGAGCACTGGACTTAACTCCCTAGGTCCAAATGAGAAGCAGAAGGAGAGAGAACATGAGCAAGGAAGTCAGGATCACAAGGGGTGTGTCCACCCACTGAGATGGTGGGACTGATCTAATGCGAGCTCACCAAGGCCAGCTGGACTGGGAGTGATGGAGCATGTGATCAAAATGGACACTCTGAACGTGGCTGGCAATGAAGGCTGACTGAGAAGCCAAGGACAATGGCATTGGGATTTAATTCTGCTGCATGGTCTAACTTTGTGGGAGCCTGGTTTGTTTGGCTGTTCACCTTTAAAGACCTGTATGGGTGGGGAAGGACCTTTGACTTCCCACGGAACAGGGAACCCTGACTACTCTTAAAACTAGAGAGGGAGGGGGAGGTGGGGAGCGGAAGGTAGGGAGGGGAAGGTGGGGAGGGGGAGGGAAAAGGGAGGCAGGGAAGAGGTGGAAATTTTTAATAAATAAATAAATAAAATTATACAAAAAATATTGGTGGATAACAAAACTGCTGGTATTTGCCCCGTTTGAGCTCACTGTGTCCACTTGGAGCAGTATCAGCTGTGTGTGATAAGTTCTCTTAAGAGAAGCAAATACCAAAACTAGAGATCATTACAGCACCGCTAGAGCCATTAAATCAGAATTCTGGATATATTGAAATACTCTGACATAAAATGAAACCACCTCAATTAAGGCGACTATTAAAGAGAGTAATTGATGGGACGTTTGCCAGCTTCGAATTAATTAAATTGAGCCTTGATTTAAGAAGGTGCTGCTCGTAGCAGGACGAAACCATCCTTCTCTAGTGCAGCAATGCATCCCAAACCTGAGCTCTTTCCAGCTTTCATCCTTTCGACTGGTTAAAAAATGGGATGGTGGTTATGCTGCTATTAAGAATATGATCAGCTGGCTCTAAATTAGTCAAATTGGTCCCACTTTTACCCGCATTTTATGTTCTCCAGCTTAGCATCTCGGGATAATTAATGCTACGATAAGGAAAATAAACAAAAGTTTACGAAAACTCTACATACACGTTCTGTTTCCCTAGTAACTGCTTTTTGCTTGCGCATGTGTTTGATTGTGTGATCATCCATAAGAATGCCTGCATTTAGTGAAATGGGCAGGTACAAGATGTATCGATCTGGTTCTTCCTCCCGTTGACTGTGGGGCCAATCTGTCACTTCTCCAGGCAGTGAATCACGGTGACAGGAAGCATTCCAGTTTATCAATTTCTTTCTTATGTAGGATACTGATGCTTGGATCACACTCGCCTCTTGCGGTCAGGTTCTGCTGCAATCGACAGCCATTGGGGTATCTGCCTTGACTTGAAAATTGGGTTTCTCTGTTAGGACAGGAGATTTTTAACATGAAGGTGTTCTCAACCTCTCTCTGCTTCGGACTCCTGGCTTTGCTGTCTGTGATGAACCTTTTCAAATCTGCGCATGGACGGCAACCTCTGACCACAGGTATGTGCGCACGAATATAAGGCCCTACGGGGTAGTGAGTGATCCTCCTCTTTGTATTTATTTCATTTATTTTTCTGCCATTGCTGAAATAACTCTTTAAAGCAGTAATATAAGTTAATCACTGCACCCTCCTTAAGTAGCTGCTGCTCTGAACTGAACATACTCTGCGAAGCTTTTCTTCTCTGGCAAATTGTGTCAACTTTGCCTGGTGTAGTAATAAATTAACGTGAGATACACACACACACACACACACACACACACACACACACACATTTCTAGTCACAGGCATGTATTTTAATTTGTACTATATGGTCAGAGATTTGGAATGTGTAAAAAGCTGTAGAGTCAGTCCCATTCCAGAAGTGCCCTGGAGAAAAGAGAAGACTTCTCTCACGTTATTAGCTGGATGATCATGAAAGGTGCACCTTGAAGATAAAAACGTTCTTGCAGAGCGGAGAGGCGGGGAATGCCTGGGGTGGGCGCAACACTCAGGTTAGATATTGACTGAATTTTTCTGGGTCACTAAGTTCATAGTATGTACATTAAGGAAACAGTGTAACTGTGACATCTATTAAAAATGTACCATTATAAAACCAGTGAAAGTGGATTTAGGGGCATCTTTCTTTGAAAATGTTACTCCAATGCATGCAATGTATGCAAATTGCCTGTTCACTGTGACTTGGCTGTCAGCTTACACTTCGTGTTGATTCATGACACAAACAAGTTTACTTTGAAACACTAGTAAATTTTCTCATTTTAAAAGTATTGACTTAAAAAACAAAAGTAGTGACAGAAATATGCTGTTCGTAAAACATTATCCCTCCCAGCTTGAAACTGGGGGCTTTTCTTTTTCTTTTCTCTAACCTACATCCTGGCCAGGAAGGTGCTAGACTTTTTTATGCACAGCTGGAAGTAGGAGGGAATTCAGTAAATGTTCTGTGACATTAAGGGAAGAAAAGGGATCAGCTTTCTCATTTGGGGACTTAATTCACCTTTACTGTACCTCTGTTACCTCTATTTTGTTTTTAAAAACCAGTGATGCTTAATTCTACTCATGAAGGTTTTCCTATTGGCAGGTGAATACCACTAGAAGCAATTCCAAGGGTGGGTCTTGCAGACTCTGTATTCTACTGATGGCTTCCACACTTTGTTCTCTCCATCCAAATCACTGTTTTTGTAGGTTGCTCTTGGTCTCTGCAAATTAGTGAAATCTCAGATGGTTCTGGCCTAGTGTAAATATGTGAGTAAAGTTGTAGTGATCTGTTGGAGACTTTGCAGCAATCGTATGTGTTACTGGTCTTTACCACTCTGCTTGTGCATCTGGGAAACATAAAAATACATATGCAACTCTAAAACATTGATAAGATTCATAAACACCGCCTCTGACCTCGAGATTCCACAGATGACTTGATTTACAAGTGTCTCTAGCAGCATAGTGGGAAGGTTTCTCTCCAAGACCCTCTTTGATCTCAGAATCAATGAACATCAATGAAGATGATTAATTTGAAGTGGCATCATTATCTGTTCTACATATTTCAAGAATAAAATAAATTTCCCCATATATATTAAATATCCATAAAGAGTAGCTCAGTGCTGCTAGCTTTTATTCATGGGGCAATATTAAAGCATGCCTCAGTTAAGAAGTACCAAACTAGGAACTAGTTTGCTAGAAAAGGAAGGAAGGACAACATAACCACAAAGGCCATGTAGGAGTTGTTTTGTCACATTATCATCTGGGAAGTTTCTAGTGTTCTGTCTGGTAGAATTTCTTGTTTCTGTTTTTTGAAAGCTTCACATATTCCTGTGAGCAAAAAAAAAAAATTAAAAAAAATATAAAAACAAAAACAAAAAAAACCAAAAAACTGTTTATCTGTGCTGAGCACCTGAGTCGTAATGGATTGGTATTTTCTGTCTTTGTCTATCACTCACACTCGCCTGTCTGAGCACTTTATCTTTTCTTGTGGCAAAAACACCTCTACATCCAGATGCTTATTATGCAGACCTTTTTTTTTTAAATCAATGTTAACATTGTTCATTGAGTAACATAGAAGTGTGTTAAAGGAACATCATCTTTTTCTTTTAAAGCTATAGTTATAGTTTATAAGCTAAACATAGAGACTAAGATGGAAATGTGATTGTTTTCATATTTTTCCCTGCTTTCATGTAAATTTCTTTAGACATGATTTTTTATTTAAAAAAAAATCTTCCCAAACTCCCTTTCTTAGGAGATTCCTGTAAATGGTGGTTGTTTTAGGCAGGAAAGGGTTTCCGAGAACAAACATCACACAGGTGCAGTCACCAGAACCCAAACTGTCAAAGGCAATCAATTTGTAGATAGATAGACAGACAGGCAGGCAGACAGACAGACAGACAGACAGACAGACAGAGGGAATGTATGATTTTGTGAGTAGAACACAGAAGTCATTCTGTATCAGCACTAGATCCCCCTGAGTTGGAACCACAGGAGGTCATAAGCCACCTTGTATGGGTGCAGGGAACTGAATGGGGGTCTTCAGCAAGAGCAGCAAGCACTGTTAATTATTGACCTATCTCTTCAGGCCCAAGATCTCTCACTCTCACTGTGTGTGTGTGTGTGTGTGTGTGTGTGTGTGTGTGTGTGTGTGTGTGTGTATTTAGGAAATAATTTAGTCAAGTTCTGACACATTTCCTTGACTGAAGCTATAAAAACAAACTTCACTTTCAGCAGTTGAGGTCAGCTAAGCTCACACACCTACTGCAGCAAGCCCCTGCTGACCTACTTCCTGCCCATGTGATAATGACGAGAGTGAGGAGGTAAGAGGGAAAATGGGCTGTATCGGATTGAAGAATCAACTCGAATATAGGAAACAACTTTTAATTTTTAAGGCCTTTATGTGAGTTCATTGTTTTTGAATACGCATATGGTGCAGCTGGAATGAAGTTTTTTGTCCCAATTATACTCCAGAATACAAACATATATAATGCTGAGGCATGTGTAGACCTAAGCCCTAAATACCTGTCGGGTACATCCAGGATAGTGAAAAGAAGCCTGTATTGAATAAGTTGACACTCGCTCCTCCTCAAGTAATTTAAAGGGAACCCTAGACCACAGAATGTCTCATGTTTAAATGTAACACATCAAATAAAATCACAGAATGAAATGTTATGCTCTTCTTTTAAAATTAACTTTTAGTTTTTACTTCATATGTTCAAAGCAATTGCATAATTAAAGAAAAAAAAAACCATAGAAAGGACAGTAAAATTCTCCTGCAGTCCCACCACCACTGTATCGTTCTGGCTGTCTCTCAGGATGTGCACACCCACCCACCAGGTTTTAGAATGGTCTGCCTTTTGAATCATTGACTGCCCTTATCCTCTAACATTGGTGAATATAGGCACTGAATTGACTGCAAATCCCAGTGACCTAGAGGCACATTCAGTGACTCATTAACCACGTTGACATTTGATTATTATAGGACATGAGCTGTTTCCAGCTAACGAACACACAATTCAAGAGAAACTACTGCTGGCTCTGCTGAGCCACCACCCCGGTTTCCAGAGGCCCTCCCACGCCGGTGAGTCAAGAGCAAGGCCTTGTTAAAAACAGCAGAATCAGGGTCTCACAACAAATTCCCTTGTGATTCTCTAGCTCTTGCAATCTTTCTGCCTCCTCTTCTTCACTTCCCTATGTCTTAGGGGAGGGTGTGTTTTGTAGGAAGAGTTTGATTGGTTGTGGTTTTCTGTAGTGGTCTCCGCCCATTGCAAACAGAAGTTTCCTTGTTGAGGGGTGAGGACTGCACTTATCGTTGGGTCTAAAGACAAATATTTAGAATACAGTTAGAGATTATGCCTGATTAGTAAAGTGGGAGTCTGTAAATTCTCCTCCTAAATTCATGACTTCACTAGCCCTAGGATGCTATACAGAAGCCTTCAGTGAAGACCACTGCTATACATTCTTGAAACAAGTCACAGAGTTATTTAGAATATTAAAAGTGCTTTTTATTCTGTGTGAGAATTATAATGGGTTGGTAACTGCTGAGGTGAGGCAATGATCCCAGCTCACATTGCTCTTACATTTGTGACTCTTCCTGGCACAACTAGTTAGTAATTTCTATAACACACATTTCAAGAGTACCATGAGGAGAGGTTTCCACTAGAAATTTGGCAAACTGACTGCAGTGTTGTGCTGTGTTCCTTTACTTTGGGAAATGAAGAACTCAAGTTGGAAGTCTTGGCTGTATCAACTGGGACACAACAGTTCTTTGACAAGAGGGTAGACTCCCACAAATTGTCAAGATTCTCTCAGCAATGTAGTAAGGCAACCCAAGAGAAAGTGTGGTGACTGACAGTGTGGTTCCCTCTTAACATCATGGGATGCAGTTTTAAGAGGGTTTATATTTGTTGGGCAATATGTTAGCTTAAAAAATGCATTAGGAGTGGGGATGTGTCTCACTGGCAGATCTTGTGCTCAGCATGCTTGAGTCCATGAACTTCATCTTCTTGAAGCACTGTAAAACAAGCAAACAAAAGAGCCCTCAAAATATGAATACTTTTAAAAATCAGGATTTGTGAAATAAGTAAAATTATAAAATGGAAAAAATCCTCATACCCAAGTAATAAAACTTGGAAGTTTACCTTAATATTTCTTTCATTTCTTCTTGCTTTGGATTTCTGGAGAATCATTGTTCAGTCTCTTTTTACATTTTCTATCGCTTCATGAGAATTTTTCGGCCAGTAAAATATTGTGACTTTTTATAAATAATACTTCGTGGTAGAACTATATTATACTTTAAAGAATTTTGTGCCTCTAGGTGGACATAGGTGCTTTTTTGTGCTACAGGTTATTGTAGTTCAGCGTTATACTCATTAGGAACATATTTAGTGTTTTCCAGTAGGAAAGAGAGGGCAGTCTTGAAACATGAAAAAGATACTTGCCTTCCATTTTGAGCATAAATGCATATTCTGAAGTGAATTAAATGCTACCCATGGTATGTGTTTTCACTTGACAATGCCTTTTACAGGTGTAGATCTGCCTAGCAGCCCAGAAGACCTTAAACAGGTGAGAGTGCAAAACAGTTCAATGCTCAATTTTATCTTATTAGATACATTTTGATGCATTATTTTCATGAAGTACTGATATTACAGTGTAAAATTTCTATTTCCACTAGAGAAAAAATGGAGTAACTTTTCAAGAAACGGACAATGAGCAGATAACAAATTATAGTGAGGTAAAATCATACACACACACATACACACACACTACAGCAATTGTGATGATACCAGTGGCCTAAGCATGAGACACTGGAATAGGTAAAATTCTCTGAGCTTGTCATCTGTATAACCCGGGGATATAAGTTGGTGTTTTCCGAAGTTACAGTTTTTAAATAGTAAAATTTTACTTCCTGTTGGAAGAAGTTGTGTGGTTTCAGAAAATTAACCGAGTAAGAACCAGAAAAAGAAACATGTGACTTGGCTTCTAGCTGTTTGTTTGTAGAGACTGAAGTTCTGCCCTCTTGACAAGGAGCCCCACCTTCTCCATCAGCTTCATTTTCTCTCCTCCTTGATATCTCATAAAGAGTATTTTAATGGCTAAGTTATACAATTTCTAATCTCCTTCAAATACAACTTGGTGCGGTTCCATAATCATGCAAAATGTTTGGGCATTTGGGAACAAAATTGGGCCCATCATTCTCTTCTGAGGAGCAAGAACCTGGGTACATGCAATATGCACACCAACCCTACACTGATAGAGTGGGTCTGTAGTAGCTATATGTTTGGAGAACTTGTTAAATATTAAGGTTATGTTGAATGCTGGGTGAAAACTATAGGGCCTCAAATATGTCTCTTTTTTTCTTAAAGGACTCCTGGAAGTCCAAGCAATCACTTAATTCTCTAGAGTGTATTTGTGAGGATTGATTGATTATATGAGGGACATAAAGTTAAATATAGCTACCTAGGCTACACCTAAGCTGACTTGATTTGTAAATACCATGCATATTAGTCGCAGTCCTATTGCTGTGAAGAGATAGCACGACCAAAAAGACATATAAGAGAAAGTATTTAAGTGCGGATTTGCTTACAGTTTAAACGTGTGAGTCCATGAGCAACATCTCAGGAAGCATGGTAGCAGGCAGACAAGCATGGTACTGAGGCAGTAGTAGCTGAGCGCTCATATCTGATCCATAAATAGTGGCCAGAGAGAGCAAGAGTGATACTGGGCCTGACGGGCTTTTAAAACTTTTAAGTCCAACCTTAGTAGCACATCACCTTCAACAAGGTAGCGTCTCCCAACTCTTCCTAAACATCCAATATATGAGCCTATCAAGGCATTATTCAAATGGCCCCAACCTGTTTCTTTCTGATTTCTTATTAACTCTCATACTTATTCCAGACAACTTCTGAATGCCAGTCTTTTTGGGCTTTTATGCATTTATCTTTCTTTAATTTTTTCTTATGCCTTTTCTTTCCTCTTTCCTTTTGCTTTTTGGTTCCCTAATCTTCTTCTTCTTTAATTTTTTATAGCTAAAGAAACTGAAAGAACAGTTTATGGAGGGAAAGAGCACTGAACTGACCCATGCCGCAGATGCTGTAGATGGCAATCTATCCTCTTCCCGTCCTAATAAAAGAGGTAAGCATTTATTTCCATTGTAAAAATGACTTCCCAAAGATTCTTTTCATAAAGACCTCTATTAATAAAAAGATAATACTGACATTTTTCAGTCCTCTCGTTGAGATAAAGATGATGTTTTTAAGAAAAAGAGTCTAATGACAGTGACCCAGTACAAGTGTATCCGAACCTGTGATGGCGGCAACAGTGAGTGACACATTTCAGGTTTAAATGAAAGAAGTCTGTAGTGCTTAAAATTCTCATCTCCTGTTCCTATTTTGGCTTAAGAACTGAAGTCAGGAGGATGAAAGCAGAAATAGTCTAGTTTTTAACAGAAATTAACTTTTTTCTTTACATAAATAGACACCCCATTGATACAATATTTGTTATATGCATAGATTTGATGCAGACAGTTTGGAAAATTATTCTTTTGAATCACTTGTTTTTCATATTTTTAACATGTCTTTCTTGCTTATTGCTAATCGGGTTCTTATTTTTGAAAGAATAACGATTCCATCTGTTTCTCCAGTTTCTTAGTGATGTAAATTTTTTAAAGTAAATTTGACTTTTCTGATCAACAACCTAATTGTCTTTAACTTATGTAAGAACATATTGCTGCAATATTACTAAAGAAAGAAAAAATAAGATAATATTAACAACTTAACACAAACCAACCAATTAATATCACAATATTTCAAAATACAATAGATAAGCCTTTAAGCTGCAGAGCCAGGTGGCTTGAGTTCAAATCTTATCTTTGATAATTCATATCTGTGTGACTTCAGGCAATTAATTTCTTATGAATGGGACTTTTTTGCCCATATATAAAATAATTTTCATGGGTTGTTAGGACCAATTTATTTTACTTAATTTAGAATGCTCCATGGCATATGATAAGTACTTTGTGAACTTAAGGGAAAATAAATTCCAATGATTGCTCCATAATTATTATTTTATTCTTTATCATTGCTATGACTATTTTATATATGAGAAAACTGTATTTTATGAAGATTAGATTACAGGCCTCAAATCATGCAACTGGTAATGCAAAGGAGAAAGTAGTATGCAATAAAGTGTATTATTCTAAACATTGAACTGAAAAGTGACCTTCTTCCCTCCACATAAACCCAATAATTTCTAGATGACCAGGGAAAGAACAGATACAATCACTTAATCTCCTTCATAAAGGAAAACAGGAGACAGAGACAGCAGTTCTGAAACTTTGCTGATCACGTAATAAGGGCATTTCCTGAAAATGGAGAGTGGGTTTTTGTAGGACTTCTTAGTTTCTAGGATTTCCCTGTCTGTTGTGTTGTTACACTTGCTCCACCCTTCCCGAGACTTTTGCTCTTCCATTCTTAACTGTGAACATGTGTCTTACTTAGGAAAAGTCTTTCTTGTGACTTACACGGCTTTCCCAGCTCTCTTCAAACTCAAAAGTTTCATTTTGTCTTAAACTACTGGAGACAGTTTTCATCTCAAGGATCAAGGTTTCTTTTGCAAGGATATTTTATTGTTTGTTTGTTTTCATTTTTTGTTTTAAGAAAGAAAAAAAGTAAAAAAAAATCAAGAAAGCTTATCAACTATTTTTATACAAGTATTTCCTTAAAATATTTATTTTGCTTTCTCTCCTGAAACTTATAACAATGTTGTTGAAAGCAGTTTAAATATTTCTTAAACTTAATATTCTTAGTTTAATTTTTCCTCATGAAATTTTTATTCCAGCTCTTGCTTAATGCCATTTTAAAGTGGGTTTATTTTGCTTAAAACAATAACCTCAGTTTTCATCCATTTAAGTGGAAATTACAGAATTTCTTTATTTTTGGCTAAGTGCAATTCTGCATTCTTTCTCTACTTCCTCCTTTTCTCCTCACTTCCCTTCAAATGTGTGTGTGTGTGTGTGTGTGTGTGTGTGTGTTCATGTAGTAAAGACTTCAGCAATTCCATAATTTGGCTATTGTGACTATTGTAGTGATAATCATGGGTCTATGGGCATCTCTATAGCATGCTCATTTTGATTATTTGCATGTAATCTCAGACATTTTGCTCTTTTTGTTTCCTTGATGATACCTATTCTGACTGGGATGAGAAATTTGATTTATGGGATATTCATGGTTTCTCGATACTAATTTCAAACTTTCCTGTAAATCAAAACTTATGCCAACACAAAGGAACAGAAATGATTCTTTGAAACATTGGAAAAAGCAGCTCAGTTGGCATCCAGACAGTTGGTTTTTTTCAATACGTTATGTGGGGCACTGTGCTTGGTGTCCTCACAGCAAGGTAGGAGCAGGTTAAAGGAGTGCAACAGACCTTCCCCTTCAAGAACTTACTGAGTGATCCTCATTCTAATGGAACAGGGCTGGGGACCATCGGCAATATCAAAAGGCATCAGAAATTGTTGGAGAACCCTGTCTCTCCCACTAGTATTTCAACCTTATTGCATCATGGGTAGCAAAGCTGTGCTTGTAGTACCTTCAGTGAATAAATGATTTTGAAATTTAGAAAAACAGCTCAAATAGGGCGTGTAAATTTGACATTTATCAACAAATCCACATCTGTCATTTTGTTGAGACCATTCATGGAATGATGCCTCATATAGAGGGAAGCTATCTCAGGACTGACACTCAGGTCAGATAAAGAGCAGAAGTGTGAAACTGAGAGAGAATCAGTAAAAAGGGTTGGGTGGAAGTAGATACTAATGAAGGAAACAGTGCAGAACAAAATTCATAGAAGCCAAGTTCAAGCACATCTCAAGAAACTTCAGGGCATCTGAACTACAAGAGCTCCAGTAAGATGAGAGTCAATGCCTACCTGGGAGTCCAGGAGCAAAGACCCTCAGTAGGGGGCCAACTTCTTATTAAAAGGGGCCTGGTAAAACAATTGGAATCACAGACAACAGACAGGTCTTGTATGTGTGTATGTGTTCATGTGTGTATATATGTATGTGAGTACAGGCGAATACAACCGTCAGTTTGTAAAGAGACTGGAGGATAGTCTCAGTTGTTATTCCTCAGACACTCTCAACCCTATGTTTTGAGATAATGTCTCTCGCTGGGATGGGAGGTTGCCAATTAGGCTATGCCAGCTGGCCAGTCAGTCGTAGAGTTCTGCCTGTATAGACAGCTCTTCTGAAGAACACTTTTCTGTGGGAACACTTGACATTAACTAGAATGATACAAGCATCGAGGAAAGTTTTTCTTTTTTAAGCAAAGAGATATGAAACCATGGCCCGTGCGATAACAAACAAGAAGGTGTTGTGATAATGACTATATAAAATAAATGACCAGGTTAGTTCATGAAACAACACACATTCTTTACTAAAGTTGGTACTCCTGGCGCATCTAAGAAGTAATGAGTGTGAGCAACCATGCATGAAGGTGAAATGGACCCCCAAATCCAGCTGAAGGCAGTAAGAATCTTCATCTACTGGAATAATTTTCCTTACAAATTTAGACTATAGCCCTTACATAGCTGCTCTGAGCATAGTTGCTCAATACAGAACACAAGTGTGAGTTAGACAGACAGACATCAAGGGTCAGCAGCGGTTAAGCCGGCTGGCATATCACTTTATGAAACTCATGGATGACTTGCATGCATGGGGTAATTGAACTCTATCAACAGAACTATGCATGGTAGTCCTTTCAACCTGGCCAAAAACGTTCTCCAGACTATGTGCCCCGGCAAACTTAACTGTACCGCTGTGGGATTTAAGCCCTGGCTCCGTGGCAGCTATTATTTTTGTGCCAGACGGAGCTATCCAAAGATGTCTGGAGGAACAAACTGCACGATGATGATGACTTTCCATAACACACTATTAAAGGAAGCCTGGATTAAAGGGCCATGTTCTCAGCTCAGATCTGAAAATAGACCCCTGCCTTCACAGGAACTAAGGGCAATTTTTCAGCAGGAGAACCACGACTCTACCTACTGACGATATAAAAATGACTCATTGATGCATTTGGAAACGGAAAGGCTGCCAAATTTGGTTTTCATTTTTCTGAAGTTGTGTAATGTGATCAGAATATTAAGGCTCAAGGTGACAAAGAATAATTTATCTAAGTATCATTTGGTGGCTTGCGAGGTGATTGGTAAGCTCCCTTTTTCTTCCCTCAATCAACAGAATGAAGAACAATTCTCCTAAATAGCATTTGATGGCTTGCAAGGTGAACTTAAGCTCCCCTTTGCTTCCCTCGATCAACAAAGGATCATTTAGTCCCACCTTTTACTTATATGACTTCTTTCTTAGCATTTCAGTTACACAAAATGTGAAATGAAGGTTTGTGCCTCCTAGGTCGGCCTCTGTGGTCCTCGGATTGTATTATGTGCACTGTAATGCAGAAGAGTGGTGACTCATAGAACTCACACAATAGGATCCGTCTCTAGTTTATACTATTCATTCTGGCAGTCACTAACCTCTGATTGGTACTGCGAATGTGGCGTGTGGCCAGCATGATGAAGAACATGAATTATTAACTAACTTAATTTTAAACCCATATAAAGCTACCATAGTGAACATAGTTTTATAAAAGTATCTTTGTCTCTTGTGCAAGCCCATAGACTATTTATTCAAGGAAGAGTAAAAAAATTTCTTATAATAACTTGCTTTGTTTTCCTTTTTAGCTTGTTTTTGGAAATACTGTGTCTGAGTCTTCTCTGGATATACAAAAGGAAAGAGCACCTAGGAAGATGAATATTCTCTTGCTTCAAGTTCGCCTCTGTTTCCGGCCTTAAGAAACTGGTTCTTATTCTGCACATCCTGTCCTCACTTTCCTACCCACCCCTACCTGGGTTGTGGTTGGCTTAATGCCCATATGGCAAAGGATGACACTGACCATCGGAATGGCTTTAAAGCTGAAACTGAGTATTTGATTTGTTGTAAGTTTCCTAGACGTCTATTCTCTCTCCTTCTCCATAATTGTTGGCTGTCAATAAAAAATATTTTCAAATGCATCTGAGAGAGTTAAAATAAACTTTGTAGTCTCCATTCACGTGGGAAATACGCAATAGTCTTCATCATTTTTATGACTGTGTTTTCTTTGGCTTCATTGGGACCATTGCCATTGAGAATACTAGGAATGAATACATTACTAAGGAACAGAGATACACAGTTTGCCTAATCACAGAAGAAAGTGATGCTAGATCTCTCAGAAATAGTATGTGAAGAAAATGTTGATTAAACAACCTGCTTTGGGGGTTTTTATTTATGTACATGCTTCCTCCAGAGCATCGGGGACTCTTTGACACCCTCTGCATGCCTAGAACAGGTGGGACTCTGTGCTCTGAAACAAAACCCAGAATGCATTGGCTTTTCCTTGTTAGGTTTTAATTTCCCACGACTCCATTGTTTTTTCTTATAGCTGAACGAGACTGTTTAATTAATTCCAGCCTCAGAGCTTAGCCTTAATTTTGCCTGAAAACTGCTGTGACACAGAATCGTGCTCAAAATAACTTTCAAATTAAGGAATATTATGATTGTACTACTGTGTGGCCCACATACATCCATTTTTCTTTGTAATACTGAGAAGCATATTTTTTATCTCTGTACTAATGTGTAGTGTTTAATGATAAAAGTATTTCATAAAAGAGGATGATAGTATTTATTAAACTAGAATTTTATAAAAGAGAATAAAGTCCTTTGATAATGCTGGGGATACCTGAGTACTGAAGACAACTGAAAGCCTAGTGGCATGACACGCAATCAACAGAGACCCAAAGGAGGTCTTTCCAGACAATGACAAAGGAAATTATCATGATTAGGGGTAGGACAGAGAACTCAGCTGAGTGTATAACAAGATCTCAGAGGTTCTTTGAAAAGGTGATATTTTAGCTGACCTTCAGGGCTGGGAAGGCCATGCAAGTGGTTGAAGAAAAGAGTGCTTGAGAAAGGGGAAACTAGTACTCCAAAGGCCAAAGTAGAAAGAACTTGACAGTCTTGAAAAAGGAAGTGTGTGCTTGTGGTCTGTGGGCAAAGCCTGTGAAAGTCCAGTAAGGTAGGTGGGTTATAGCCCACTAGGCAAAGACAGTGGGCTGATATTTTATTATAAGTAAGCAAAGAAACAAGTATAAAAGCAAAACCTCTCCCCTGATGGAGGGAAAGCAGACCAAGATCAGCACATGGAACCACAGAGAATGTCGCTTCTCTTCACCAGTCACCAAGGACAAGCTCTGGTACCCAAACGATGTCCATCTGACCACAAGGCTCTTATTCTACATAGATCTGTCCTGGAGTGAGCTTAGTGTCCTTCTAGAGAACAAATTTCCTCGTTAGTGTGCCAAGTACTTAGATCTTTCTACAAACGGTGTTGTCTTCTTAAAATCTAAAATCTGAAAATAGAGGTGACAGATTGGATTAAAACTAGATTTCACGTTTAAAAACGAAAGAAAGAAAAGAGGAAGAAAATAAAGCAACCAGCTTGAGCATCATGCCTGCAGTACTGTTACCCTGCCTCAGGAGCATAGAAGTACACAGGAGCAAACATGAAGTGACAAGAATTCAGGAAGCTCCTGTGCACTTACAAGAGTTGTGACCCCGAGCACAAGGCTATTATAAAGATTAAGACTCCAGTGTATTTTTAATCACACATTTAATTACTTTGGAAAAGTTGGATAATATTCCAGCACACTGAAACTCATGCACCAAGCACAATGCCACTGGTGCTTTTTCTAAGATTCAATTCAGATTTTAATAATTTAAGAAATTTAATTCTCCAAATGATATAGAGATTAAAGGTGCAATTTAATAAATTTTGGGTCGTGTTAAGTTTGAAGACCTTGTAGCTTAGAATTACATCCTCACAGTCCGAGTTGGTTATGGAATTAACATTAGCACTCAAAAATTCATAGTCACGTGTTCATTTGCTCTATGTGTCCCTATTTAGAAATGAGAAAAAAAGGCAACTATGTCATGGCATGGGTATGTGGGTTCACATGGATCTGTGAAATGAAGACTCAGAGACACTTGAGAACGAACTTAGCCTTTGTAACCTCAGCCGTCCCCAGCCCTGGTGGACTGAAGCACTTTCCCTTTGCCCAGGGCATTTTTATTTTTCCCCAATGTTTACATTTTAGCCAGTAGATTTCCATGTGCTCAAAACACCCTGAATGAAGCTTCCGAAAATACAATGCCAAGTGCAAATACCTGGTCCAGGAGGTGCCAAGGTTTTCTAGATTGCCCCAAACAAGTTTTGCCTAGGATTTGTATCCATGGGAAACTCTCAGACAAGATTCACAAAGGGAAAGAAAAGGTATCTGTAACACAAGGATGGATCAGGGATGGTTCTAAAACTGCAGCTAGGCCAGGTGTGGCCCAGCATGGGTTATGGCAATGGGGAGAATGGGGGAATGTGGGGGGGCGGGGTTGCTAACTCTCTGGTACCAGGAAATTCTGCCACATATATAATTTTAAATTATGAATTTTTAAATTGGTAGTTCCCAGGGGAATATAGCTGAATTTACTGATATACATTGTATCAAAAAAAAAAAAACAAATGAGATAGGCCATCACATTATCTATATAACTGATGTTTTAATTTATAGTTAAGAAGATTCCATTTCAATCCGGATAAATTTGTTTATTTTTCTATTCTTTCTAATGTGGTGGTAAAACTAAGATGTATGAATTAAAGTAGGTTTAAGTTGAGAAAGTGATTTTTTTTCTTTTCTTCATTGAAGTTGGCTTTGTGAGACAAGTGCACTCACTACACAGAATGGAGCATAGGTCAATATGTTGTAATATCTGACTTTAAGTCAGATGTGGTTGCATATTTTCTTCCTTCCTTCCTTCTTTCCTTCTTTCCTTCTTTCCTTCCTTCCTTCCTTCCTTCCTTCCTTCCTTCCTTCCTTCCCTCCTTCCTTCCTATTTCTTCCCTTGTTTCTTTCTCTTTTTAAAAGAGTTCTCATGTGCCTAGCCTCACACTTTCTACTAAGCTGAGAGTTGCCTTGAATTCCTGATCTTCCTGTTGTTATCTCCAAGTTGTGGGATTACAGGCATGGATCACTATACTAACTAGACAGGAAATTAGTCTCTTTCATGATAGGAAGGTACTCTGTCATTGATTTACAATCCTTGCTCTCATAGCCTGTTTTTGAATTAAAGTAATGCAGAAAGCCAATTTGTACAGCTCAAATTCAAACTTTAATATGAGATAGTTTAGTCTAATATTGATTTTAGTATCTTTTATCAAGGCAGAAAGCATTTCTTTGTTGGGTTGGTAGCTTAGAAACATCTAACAGAGAGAAAAAGGTAAACAAACAAAACAAAAGCTTCTAACATAGAAAACATTTGTACAGTACATCCCAATGCTGGGAAAAATAAGTAAAAGAGACAGCAATTTCTTTTCAAATAAATCTTTTAAATTCAAAGCTCTGCAGAACATTACACAAAGGCCAATTATATTAATTTTCTTATACTACCTTTTAGATATTACTTTCTAAAGAACACTGTTGCTCAGCTTTCTCAAAATGAATGTCCCTTTGCTACAGCTTTCTACCACACTTGAAGCAGCCACTCACTTATTGCCTTTCCTCTAAGCCTGGAGGGAAGATTCTCAGCAATTTGACACATTTCAGAAGAATTAAAACGCCCTCTTTCTATAAATCATTATGTATGCTGTACACATGCTCCTTTCCTTACTCTTCAGGTCTTTAAACCCTAGGTTTCTAGAAAGCACACCAGGTAAATGAATTGTAAAAGCATTAAGGATAAGAGAATGCATAACACTTGATAATTGCTTTTAAAAGTAGGTTTGGGAACCACATTATGGTTTATGAATCATTAAAAATATCCCCCAAAGACATTCATTCACTGAAATAATCTGTAAGACTTAACTAGAACCATAGCAACACTAGGGCATGATGAGTTGAGAGTTCTCAAGCTTTGGGAAGGTTTGCAGAAGGTTAATTCTTTAACAAGTTCACCAGCAAGGAGCAATGAAGAACTTCACTGAAGCATCTTCTATAAGTTCTGTGCCATTTCTCGCAAGTCAGACACATCTGTGAAAATGAAAGGTGAAGTTGTTAAAACTGTCTTTGCCCTCTGCAGATCAGATGAAAATCCACAACTTCAACAGGCAAGATGTAATCCTTTAATCACGTGGGACTTTGTGTCGGCTTTTAGTTACATGGCATATTTTCTACCATAATGTAATGATTTCAAGTAACAGTGAGTTAAAAGCGCTTTTGTGATGAATGAGCTAAGAACCTATGCTCATGTTTCAATGGAAACTATAGTGTTTGTCAGTTCTTTCTTGAGATATCAACTACTTCAAAATTCTCTTGAGTTTTTGATCTTAGTTCAAAGGGTGTTATGAAAAGCAAAAGAAAGATAAAGAAAAATTGACTACAGGTTGTTTAGCTTTAGGTACACGCTAATAACTTTATATTTTGGTCCTGATACAAGAATTCAATCCTATACAATCTTTTATACATGAGATTCTTGCTGTATTTTGAAGTCCTGATAATATATATGAGCAATGATGCCAACACCGTGCTAAGATGAAATTGTTGATCTAAACGAATGATATGCGCCTCACATCCATTAAAGGAAAGTTTTCATTCAAGAAGTAGCAAGTGACTGCCATTTAAATGACGGTGTTTCTAATGTCATGAAGTAGGTGACTCTGCCTTCAATACTAGTTTCTAATTCCTCCTAGAAAAACTGAAAGTGTGCACAAAATATCGAATGAATGTGAGTTGCTTAAGCCAATGCCTCTACAGTCTCAAAACTTTAGTATGATGTGGTGCTGCTGATTGAAATAAAATATGTAAATACCAGATGATATTCCTTTCCAAAATACAGAAGAGAAGAAATTGGCTTTTTCTCTGGAAACTTGTTAATTTCTAGCAGTTGTTTGTGGACTTGACCTTAAACCAAGCCAATTTTCTATGACTAGGGAGCAGTTTCACTTTTAGTGTGAAACCTCAATGTGAAACCCAGAAGGGAAAAACCCAGAGCTAAACCTCCTTCAAGGGAAAGCACTTCAGCCCCCATGGAATCGAAAGAGACAGAGCATGTGTTCTCTGTGGTTTTCCCTGTGACAGTTAGGGCTGGGGCTATAGCTTAGGGGTATTACACTTGCCTAGCATATGAAGGACCTTGGATTTGATCCCTGGCACCAGCTGATTGACTAAAACTGACCGGTGATGCTCTCAACTAACATCAGTAGTCTGGAATCAAGAAAATTTGGTGGGTCAGAAAAAGAATATTGACCTAGAGAGTAAACACCTGATTTCTCCACCTTGCTCTACATAAGATTTGTAAAATGTGGATTGCACCCTCGAGTGTCAAATTTCCTGAACTGTTTGGGCAAAACAAGACTTTATGTTCTCAAATCTGCAATTAACTGCTTGACTGTATGAACTCTCCTTAACAATGCTCAAATTCTTATCTTGTAAATGTTATGCTGTACAAACGGCACCCACTCTTTAATTCAAAGAAATATTGTGATAGTAAAAAATGTATTAGAAATAACAGAAATTTGAATGAAAATTGTAAAATTTTATAGATTTTGTTCCCCATTCAAATCTTGGTGACAATGGTGAGAAATTACAAAAACACAGTGACTGAGAAGAGGCTGATGGAGAAGAGAAAAATGGATAATGCCCACTTTCTTCTAGGCCTTCCCATGTGATATCCCCGTCTTCAGGGTTGACTGGGAATGGCCATTCTTACAATGACACTCTGAAGTTTGTTAAGAGCATGGTAGTACAGAAACTTGTATGTCATCACCGTACTTTGAATATGATAGCAGCTGAACTATCTTCTTTCTGTCCTATTGTGTGAAAAACATTCACATAAAAATGAGTTTCCTATATTGACTATTATATGAATTTTTGGAAACTGAGAAATAATAAAGCATGTGATAATGAAGAATGGCAAAAGAATATGCAGAAATCAGTGAGAATTATATCAATCTCAGAGTCATGTTAATGTATCAGGAAATTGGAAGACATGCCCTTGGTTCCAGGAAACACTAGGCTTTTAATAACTATTAGCTAACTCTTGTTCAAATATAAGTGCAACAGTTGTTAGCAGACCCAAGGAGTGATCACATTTAGTCTATTTCTAGATATGAAGGAAATAGCTCTGTGAGTTTTGTGTGAGTTTTGAAACTAGTACCGTTCAAAAGGCAGTGATGCCCTCAGTAATCAGTGCATGCCCCTGCTTTCATTGGGACTCAGTGATTACAGAACATCAATATTGAAGACTCTTGGGCAACAACGCTTCTTTTAATTAAGTCATTATCATAAAATATTAACCATCATTATGACTTTAAAGTTATTGAATGGAAAAAAAGCTATTTTAATTATGAAAGGATTACACCAATGTCATGAAGGAAGCAGAAAACAGAATTCCCACATCTGTGCACTGAGATGGTTAGAAGAGTTGCAGGTTGTAGGAATTATTTGGAAAAAAAAAGCTGGACCTTTCATGAGCTTTACTGGAAGGAACCATGTTGCCTGGATGTCAAAGTCAATAAGCGTTTCTTGCTCGTGATGTATATTTTTTAACAAACCAAAAACGTAATTTATCATGTTCTTTTAGTTTTCTTTTTACTGCTTTCTGACCAAAAGCTACTTTGGGAGGAAACTTGGCTTATACTTCTAAGTGGTCCATCACTGACAGAAGGCAGGGCAGGAACACACAGCAGAAGAGTGGAGGTAGAAACCAAGATGTATCATTGACTGGCATACTCTCTAGTTTGCTCCCATGCACAGTCTTAGCTAGTTTTCTTACACAGTCCAAGCCCCTAGGGATGGCATTCTTCACAGTAGGCTTGGCCCATCTGATCCAGGCAGTTCCTCAGTCAGGCTTTCCTCTCCGTGAGTGCTTTGATATGTCAAATTTGCAACTAAAGTTAACTAGGACATATATTGTTATAACCTTAACTCTTACTTGCACATCAGCCTTAGACAATTGCACAGAATTATGTAAAAATAGCAAAATTTATTGTTATTAAGCATTGGGATGGGTTACTTTTCTATTTGAAAAATGAAATTCGGCGCCTCTCAAGTGTGTCCAGTCTACAACTTTTGAGCTGCATATGCCTTGAGGTAGCTATAAATGAAGCATAATGTAAATTGTAAATTTACATGAACTACTATAACACTTTGAGCATGTATGAAGGTTTAAAACTTGACGGTACTTTGAATGTGAACGTTGAAGATACATAAAAACATTATGTTGCTGTCTCAAAAATCTGGAAAATCTTCTTAGGCCGTTTGTTACCTTTTTAAAAGTTCTTTAAATCATTTAGCATCAAAAAAGCCAGGTGGTGGGCAAATCTTTAATCCCAGCTCTTGGGAGACAGAGACAGAGGCAGATGAGTTTCTGTGAGTTCAAGGCCAACCTGGTCTACAGAGCAAGTTCCAGGAAAGGCTCCATAGCAACACAGAGAAACCCTGACTCGAAAATAAATAAACAAACAAACAAACAAATAAAAAATAAAATAAAGTAATTGACTAAAGAAATATTTGAAAATGTGTGTATATATGCACGCGCACACACACACACGCACACACACATGATAAAAACCCAAAAAGCACATTTACAAGTAGGGACAGGTCCAAATATTTTCTAGCACCTGCCCATAGAGCGGTGGAATTTTACTTACAAAGGTAATTTGTCAGCCTCTGGAACTAGAAAGTCGGTTTCTCCCAATCCGATCCATGGGGATTCCAAAGCGTTGCTTTTTTGAATGATCTACTACTTTCCTGTGACAAATCATGGAAAATATTTTATGCCAATGTCCAAGTTATCAAACATTGCTTTATATTTTAATTAAATGCAAGTCTGAGACTCTCTTCAGAAGTGGGAACAAAAAATTAGATACTGTTTACCAGTCAGCATTCTCATCCCTGCCCATTTGTCAAAAAAATTAAAGTTCAGAGAAGCTCCCATGAAAACTCACGCCTTATCAGTATGTTAAACTGTTAATGACCTTGTTGATGAAGTCCTCTGCCTCTGCAGATTTCATTCTCGTATTGCACTCAGGTCTCTAAATGGAACCTATGAAGAAGGATAATGGATGGAGAAAGGGAAATGTATAGAAGCTAAAACTGATGTAGCAGAAGCCTGCCCCTCATGCATTCCCTGAGATGTCTAGTGAAAATGCTTTGTATGGGATCATCTGTGTCTGCTTAGATATTTTCTGCATCAAGGATTGGTTGCAGAAATGAACTGTAATGATATAATTTTTTGCTCAGTGACTTTCGTATTAGTCACTTGTCACTGCTGGGATAAAACACCATGACCAAGGCAAAATATAGAAGGACGGGGTTATTTGGGCTTATGGGTTCCAGAGCAAAAAGAGTTCATTACCATCACAGTGTGGAAGTGGCTGTGGGTAGTCATATCAGCTTGAGCTGAGAATTTACAACTTGAACCTCAAGCACCAAGCAGTGAGAGTGTTCAAGGAATGGTGGGAGGTTTTGATCCTCAAAGCCCATCCTTAGTTACATAACTCTTCAGGTAAAGCTACACTTCCCAAACTAACCCAAATAGCGCCACCAACTGGGGAACATGTACTCAAACATTTGAGCCTATGGGGCACCCTCCTTCAAACTATCACCACTTCCATGAAGGGAAACTTACTACGTTATAAAATAACAGGAAACACATAATTTGTAGAATTAGCTTATATCCAATGGACAAGAGTTACAAGAAACTAGACATACTAGTCATGCTTTAAGAGTTTGGTGTAATTTTAAACAATGGGTCTTGAAATGAAAAAAAATCTCCTCTGTATTATTTTGTGATTTTTTTATGGTTTTTTTTTTTTGAGATAGGGTCTCTCTATATAATTCTGGCTATCCTGTAACTCATTCTGTATACAGGTTGGCCTCAAACACACAGAGATTTGCCTGCCCCAACCTTGCTCATGCTGGGTTTAAAAGTGTGCAACCCTATGCAGGGCTCTTCTCTGTATTTTAAATTAGCTACCTTGACCAAGACTAACACAAATAGACTTTTAATTCATCATTTTCTTGTCGCAATGAGAATAATGTCTTCCCATCAGGGTCCACGTTGAATTCCCTGACTCATAATATGTAATTGTATATAGCCCAAACAAGTTTCAGATAAGATTAAATTTATAGATTGGAAGATTATGCTGGTTGTACCTGAGTGGACCTGGTGTCTTTCCACAGTAGCTCCTAGAAGTAGATGCCAGTGGCAGAAGAAGGGAGCCTCAGGCATCAGGTAACCAAAGCAGTCTGAGAAGGACCACAATGGCCAAGGACAGTATAAAGATGGGTGAGTCATGAATGAAGAAATGCTGGGGCTCCTTCACGTTTTTGCAAGGAAAATGGGACCTTAGTCCTTCAAGCATAAGAGTTGAATTCTATCAACAATTTAAATGGGATGAAAATGCTTTTCCCGGAGAAACCTGGGAGATTACAACCTGATGATACCTTCACATCATCTGGGTTCAAAAGGAAGACAAGGCCAGAGTGTGAGAGAACACATAAAAGGGAGTTTATATGCCATCAGTGACCAGAAATTAGCTACATCTCTACCTAACAGAGGAAAAAAAGAATGGGAGAATTGGCCTGGAATGGTGGACTGTGAGTGATAAGGATATACTTAACCTTGGTCAACAAAATTATGAGTTAGTAACTAATTGAAATTTATTATGGTATCAACAAGAACAAATACATTTCTCTGTATGATTTAGGGCTTAACTTAAGTGCTGTAGAGCTAAGATATTAAATTGATGTGGTTTCCCCCTTTCTTTAAATTGATTTCTTCTTTGACTATCCATCATTAAAATTCCTGGATAGGTGTAGGCAAAAGCCAATGTTGGGCAGAGAAGAATGCTCAGGGGTGACAAGTCAAATAGGAAGTAGTGAATCAAATCCTCCCAGGTCTTAAAAAAGGGGAAGGAAATGGCAACTCCCAAGGCCCCTTTAAGTTCAAGTGCTGTGAAAAAAATTCATTTGTTTAGTTTTCTAAAAATAAGTGTACTGTTCTTATAGAGTATATAAATTACACCAGAACGTTCAATGGTTCTCAGAATTGTTTACCAAATCTCAGGTAAAAGAAATTTTAATGACATTTTTCTTGCTTTTTTGGTAGCTGATGTTTTTCTGCGCGAGCAAATGAAAATAGGGGCTGTACTTGTGGAAAAAGCAAAATAATTAACTTCCTTCCACCCAAGCCATAACCAGTCTCTCCTCTTGCTGTCCTCAGGTTTGATCTAAAATGAGTTAGGGACCAGGAATTAGGACTTGATCTTTGATGAGTTATTTTACTTAATGTTTCTGGGATCCTCGGCAGTTCTGTTATTCTAAGCAATTCTTCATTGTCTGATAACATTTAGATACAACCTGGTGTTCCTATTCATTGGAACTTTAAATTCATTCAAAACTCTTACTTGTTAGGTTCTATTTGGTTACAGTGTTGCTTTGTCTCTCAGTGCCTGGTTCATGTTGACAATGATGATTGAAGTGACACATGCAGAGATATTTACACACATCTCCAGATGATGCTCTTACTAGTCCAGTTGAATTATTTCCTGACTACTTGAACTTCATCAGAGTAGAAACTGGGCTCAGTGGGCAGGGATAGGTAGCATATGGTTTTTTCCTAACATCTTAATTACTTAAATTCATTTTATCAAATGTGGGATCAGCTGCAAAAACTTACAGATAACTAGAAATAATTTATCATGAGCTTGCGCTTATAAATAGGCTCAATATATAAACAAATTAGCACTTAAAAAAGCAAAACCAATTATATTCAAAAAGTCCAGGAAAATCAGAATGGCTCATGAAATCCAGGAGTTTGTGTATATTTTATATCAGCTCAGAAACAAAATGGCAAACTGGCAGTTTTCTTAATTTTTTTTCTGATATCAAATATGTACATAACTCTGTAACAGGGCACCGACAGGAGTACTCCCTGTGCACAGAAGGAAAGTTTGGCAGTCTAATTTCACATAGGAAAGATATACTTCTGACTGTATAGTCCCTCTTGTGACAAAATGAGGTAATGACATGGCTTATATTAGATACAGGTAAAAACATTCTCCCTTGTCATGAAAAAATACCCTGTGAGCGTTTTAAGAGATATGTTATCTAGCAAACTAATACAAGCAGAGTGTTTGGATTGTTTATTTTCAACGTGGCTTTTATATTTACAATAAAGTATAGACTTTTCACATTAAATAGAATATTCTTTGTTGTCTGTATTTACCCTTTCTAAAACTGGGTTGTGCATTGTTCAAAGGCAGTAGAAATTGTATTTAAGCATTTTATTAAGTATTACACCATATATACCAATGGGACCATTACTCATCTCTGCCTGGTTTAAAGAAAACAGAAAAGAACATCCATACTTGCAGCACCAGCACATGATACAGAATTTAACCTGAAAAGTAGGCATCCCACTGTTGCCTGCCAATTCATGTCCCTCTGGTGGCTCTGTCCCTGGAGTCTTCTGCAGACTCAAGCTTAGTCTAATCATGCTTCTGCCTAACCTTCCCTTATGTGTGTTGTTTAAATCTCTGATACTTGCTTCAGGCAGCTTTAGATTTTTCCTTAAAGCAATTACGTGCTACAGACCTAATGTAAAACCTAGTACTAGTTATGATTGAGAGTGTTATAAGTGTGAATACTATTGTTACTCCTAATAACTGTATTATTAATTATGCCTACAGAACATATGATACAGTAGAAGTTTGCTAACAGACTAAATCCTGTGTTCTCAACATAAAACCAGGTGCCATGAGAGTTGATGGATATGCCAACTATCTTTTCTGTGCAATAATGTCACTTACATTCAAACTCTGTGGTGTAAGTGTGTGTGTGTGTGTGTGTGTGTGTGTGTGTGTGTGAGAGAGAGAGAGAGAGAGAGAGAGAGAGAGAGAGGATAATTTCTTTTGGGAATCAGTTCTCTTCACAATGTGGGTGCCAGGGAACCAATCCAAGCCATTAGGTAAATAGGGTTACCCTCTGAGTCATCTTGCCAGCCCAAGTCCATTTCTAAGAGGAAACTGTTTTCTGTCGAACATGTCCCACTAAATCTGAAATAAAATAAAAGCCATCATAGATGAATTCTCTCTCTCAGTAAAACTATGTATTTCAAAATGCATTCATGTTGATGTGTAGGCCCAACTGCTTTTCCTTTCTTCTTTAAAGTGTTCCATTGAATAGATGTATAATATTTGTTTATCCATCATGCTACCCAGGGAAGCTTGAGTAGTTGAATTTTCTTGGTGATGCTGTATACTGTTCAGTTGAAAACTGTTTTATACCTAACTTTCAACTTTATTTAGGGATTTCTGGGCAGTATATAGAGTTGCCAGCTATGAGTATATTTAATTCTATTGTTTAGTACCAGATTTTTCCCATATTCTTACATATTTGCAAACCTGAGAGCCATGTGCCACAGTTTCTTTTTGTCAACAGTATTCCAGGCCCCAGGACATGTGCTTACAGTTCTGACAGTCTGATTTCATAGATCCTCTCTTATACTGGATGCAATCAACTTTTCTATTGCTAATGGAGCCTCCTGCCTTCACTTGTTCATTGCCCACTTGGATTTCTTCTTTTGGAACTGTCTGCTTAATTAACCTATTTTTTCTTATTAATTTGCTCTCCTTTCAAATATTGATGGTAAGTAGGTTTGGTATTCAGTAAATATGACACTTCGTCAGTCTTACATACTAACTTTCTGATTTCACTTTCTTGTTTTTTCTTTTATGAGAAAATCT